GTTCTGAGTTTTAAGTGTCGATGCAGCTGTTGATGTCCAACTAGAGCCAAGTGAGTTTACTGCCTACCAGAGTGGATGGAAATCATTAAATATTAAATTGTGGCTCGGCAGTGACAGGATCCCTTACAGATCAAAGCAGGATTTGGGGTAATATTCGTAGAGCCCATTGGTTTGTGTGTGTGTGTGTGTTTTTTTTGAGTGAGCACACACTGTTTACTGAGAGAACTCGGAGTATCCTGGTGTTGATGAGTGGGATGAGACTTCAAACCCACGGTTGGTGCGATTACCATGTGCTGTCAATCAATCATCGCCACTCGAAGTCTGATTATCCAAACAAACACAGGAGAATGTTACAGATTCCACACATGAACTGAATTTAAACCCTCCACTCTAGTGGTGGAATGCAATGATATTGCACAACAAACCTGGCTGTCATGTAAATAATTTCCCCACAAATTATTTTGTTCTTAACAAAAGAACCTGAGTCAACAGCTTTTTGGCTGATTCATCACGGAACTCATTCTCTTAATGAAAGAACTTATAAAGTATGTCAACAGAGAACAATATTACATTAAAATGGGTGAGGAATGTTTCATATTGACATTTTATACTATGAAGTATTTTTAATATTGGAAACTACATAACATTAAAATTCAAAATATTCCGTTGCATAGTATTTCTATGCTGCGACACACACGGCTAGATCTATTGTTACTGTGGTGTTTTTGTTTACCATGACTGAGGACCTCGTTCCCCATTATAATGCAGACTGATGAAAAATAATGTGTCTGTTGCATTTTTTGTGTTTTGTTTGTTTTCTTGTATTACATTATTTTAATAAATTGATTTACATGTATTTACACAATTTTGTCCAAAACAACATAAAAGTGAAAAGAGATTTGGGTCAGTGAACAGGACTAGTCAGCATCATGGAACACATTGGGGTAAAGGGCCTTGCCCAAGTTCTGGTTATTATCTGACTAACCAGGGGATTCGAACCCACAACCACCTGGGTATGGAAACAGATCTCTAAACTACTTTTCAGCACACCGTATAATACTGTAATAATTTGGAGGCTGAGAAAAATCATTTTTAAAATTTCATTGAGGCCGTTGCATGAAATTTCCGTAATGTTCTCCTGATGCATTCATGACCCTCAGAGTTCCACATGTACCTCCAAGACATTCCCGTGGCTGGAGTCTTTGAGACCCTGCAAATTTTCTACACAGCCACTGTGAGAACATGAATTCCTGCATCAAATGAGAGCCAAACAGGGCTGGGCGGGAGGAAGACCAGCTCAGGGAGGGTGACAGCGGGGAAAATGTGTGAGGAATAAATCAGAAACGGTTCAGAACCAGACTGCAAAACTTATGGGGCTGCCAGAAATGTGATGGCAAAAACAAATTGTTAATGCCCTCCTCTAAAACAAAACAAAGACAAATTTCTGAGTCCTTAATGGTCTGGAAATATGGGCCAGAGAATATCATCCCCTCTGTGGGCTGTGGTTTGGACCCACCGTTCCAGAAACCAGTGAGGCTTGATAGCAAAACAGAGCATAAGCCACAGAATCCTGAGAAATAATGGGGCTTGTATTACTATGAGTACTGACAATTACTAACATTGTGTAAGCTTATGCATTTTGTCCTATTGACATCTAAAATAATATTGTTCTACAATGTAGGCATTATGGTACGAAGTAGAACATATAAATATAGAATCTCCAAATCTCTTATGGACTAATAAATAGCTAAATATATCGTACGACTAATGTTATCTTCAGATGAATCAACACACTTCCCTGTATTTAAAATTTTTTTCTCTCTAACCTTTGCAAGAAGGCAGATGCGACGTCAAATTTTAGTGCAACTTGAATGCTGCTCTGATGAATCACCAGGACTTAAAATCATTTTAATTTGTCACTGGAAGGTATAATTGCTAAATGTGTGTGTGTGTGTGTGGCATCTTTTTACTGGTTACTCATTACAGAATTTCTCCATATCGGAGTTCATTCAGTGTGTAGCGGTATCAAATTTGACTGTGACAGCAACCGCTGGCTCACTAGCCATATCTGTGCATTGATCCGCCTCTGTGTTCATGTCCGTCCCTCTGCGTACGCCTGCTTCATCCCTCTCAGCTCTTTCCCTGTCTCTGCCATCCCAGCCAGGAAGTAGAGATATCTAGTTTCTCCTCAAGAGGCCTGGGGAAGAGCGTCAATGGTCCTTATCTTAAAACAACCCCGAATGACAGTGCCGACTTAGCGACCCGTTTTTTTAATCACAGCTCCATCAAATCCCATCTTGCCGACCGAGGATTGATTTTGCGCCTGTTGTATTATTCACATGGCGGAATGAAATTTTCCTTCCTCTGATGAAGGCAAGGACTTCTGAGGTACAGAGAGCCTGTGAAGGGCTTTTCTCACAGTGAGAGTGGACATAAAAAAAAAAAATGCCCATTTGCACTGGAATAAAGCAATCCAGTATGTGTGGCATAATCAAGTAACAGTAAAAGCATCTGACCCTTTTGTCTACTCGCCGGTCTGTACATAAGCTCTCTGAGAGGATACAGAGCGGGATACTGTAGTTGAAGGAGCCGGCGCAATAAGAGAGGATTTCAATTACAGATTCAGGGCTGCAGATTGTTACCCCAGGCACAGAGGAGATGGAAACTGATACAGCAGTTTGGTACTTCTGTTCACATCGCACACAAATGCACCGAAAATTTCCACCATGAATCAGTAGCGCCGACTGTGTTAGCTGATTAGCTAAGCGTAAACGTACAGCACGTTAAAAGCAAACCAGGATGAAAACAGCGATGGTAACTGATAACTGATAACATCGCATGTTCTCACTAGTAATTGTTATGGCGCTCACATCGCCTTTGAATCGATATGTGCTCAGCCATTCTTCCATCTAATCTAATTCTCCATCCAAAATACTAATGCTGGCACTTATGTAGCAATAAGACACCAAAAATAGTTGTTTTAAAAAACAGTGTCAGTTGTTCTTGTAAGGCATTCATCACCGTAAGCTAGACTTAATCCACCGCCAGTACCTGCTCGTCCTAAGCAGGGTCGGGGGAGCTGGAGCCCATCAAAGAAGCTAGGCAGGGAATAACCCAGTAAAAGGCACCAACACAGACTCAGGGCAAAGACTCGAACCCAGGTTCCAGAGGTACGATGTAACAATACTAACTATTGCACTACCGGGCCACCCCACTAGATGTCATAGTTATTAAAATCGATTACCTTTTAATAGGAATTCCAGCTATAAAAACATGAAGAGAAAGAAGAGATGCTTTAGCGATCGTTTTATAAGGCTTAAGTGGCTGACTCTCATGAAAACCCCACCCATCCAATCTATTATACCATTTTAATATAGAATGTTGAATCACATGTTTCTGTGTGGCACAGAATATATTATTCTGAACTCAAACAAAGAATTGCATAAATATGTATAAGACATTAATTATTCCCTTTCTCTGAGACAGCCCATTTTCACAGATTTCATATTAAACTGAAATAAACTGTTATGTGAAATAACATCACACTGGGTTACAAGTGAAAAACATTCCATAATTATGCTCTGGAAATATCATAATGAAGTTGATTTTTAGTATATTGGAAATATATGACCCAATTCAAGACCCCAAGTAGCACTGACCTCGAAAAGACTCCACTGAACTGTTAAATTTGCCGTTAGATTATTCCTACATCTGTAGCTGAGTAGATTATAGGCAATGGATTGGTCTTCAGTAGGTGGTCTTTTAAATGGACTGTAGTTTTCTTCATAGTAAGCAATCAAGCCGTCGATAATTGTTCATTTATGCCATTAAAAAAGGGGCTCAACACAAAATTCTGAAATAGGTTCTAGATGACCAAAGACTTGCCAGGGACACAAGGCAATGGGACACAAGGCAAGAGAACACACAATAAGACTCAAAAAGAAATTTGTCATATCGGCAAGAAACATGGAAATGGTCAACGGGCTATTGGAAGCCGTGGAGACAAAAGTGAACACAAAGACTTTGGTCCGAGGATTGAGCTTGGAGGAACGCCCACTGTTTAAAGCTGCTTGGTTGTGGTGGTGTGACATTTCAAACAGAGAAATGTGTTAGGAAAGTGTTAGCTAGGAGCCAAAAATATCTGCTGAGAAATCCTGTAGAATAATTAAGGGTCTACTGTGTTCCCGATATGTAAAGGGAATCTGTTACTAAAATGACGGGCATTTAATTTTACATGAAGGGGAAACGGAGCTCGTGCCCGCCTGAGTTTAATACTGTTTTCAAATAATAATTGTTTTATTATTTGAAAAATCATTCAAAAATTGAGAATAGGTTAACGAAAGTTTTAAAATTTAGGCTGCAATATGGCTGCCCTACCCAGTTGCCAGGATATCGTGATCATTGCTTATCCAGTACAGTGTTACTGGAGGGCCTGCAGCCTATCCCAAGCATCGTAGGGCACAAGGCAGGGGGACGCCACACAAAAGATGCCAGTCTATCACTGGGCATCCACAATATAGACAATTTTGAGATGCCAACTCACATAATTGCACATCTATAGACTGTGGGATTAAACAGACACTGCACAAGAACATGCAAACTTCCGGGACACCAAGGTATGGGTGGGGTTCAACCCCCCAGCCCACAAGGTTTCATGCAACGGTGTCAATATAGAACCATGTACCTGCCAGAAATACTAATTGAGCAACAGGGTGTGTGTGTGCACGGGAGTGCAGTAGGATCTGGTAATAAAGGTTGCACTTCCTAAGTCAGTTATACGCATGCATAATATATTCTTAGTGGATTAAATAAGACTAATATATGCCAACCAATTTATACAGATACACGTTGGCATAATAATATCAATTTACAGAGAGCCATCTCCACTCAAAAACCACCGCTGATGCACAGCGCCCAGTTGCCTAGGCACTTACAACCTTTCAATTCCTTGCACGTGATTGGTCAGAGGTCGAGGCGCGCTCACGTGTAAGTTGTGGGTGCCGCGCGTTCCTGCTGCCTCGGCTGGATTTGAAAGAGGGAAGCGGTAGCAGGATAACGCCGAGCGTCAGCTTCTCATTATTTCCAATGAATTATCATCGCATTCCAGCGCCTGCCAGCTGACGACTGCGCCGCATATTTCCCCGTGAAAACAGGATTTTGTTTCCAGGCTGCGTTTCCTTGAGGTAAACCACGATTTGCCCGTTTATTGCATCTATTTGTTTTTTTTACCTCTTCTAAAATGTAATGGATTGATCGGGCGCTGCAGAGCTCTCCAGTACCGAAACGGCTCTTGTTTCGCTGTGGAAATAGCTACATGACAGGCGTTTCTTTTTTTGCATGCAAAAAAAGCAACAGTAAAATAAATGCATAAATATACATTTACATCTTACGTCAAGCACGGCGTGCATGTTGATGATGAACAAGACCGTGCATCTTAAGCTGAACGCCGGAGATGGGCGATTTAGGACGGTATTCGGATGCAGGATACCTTCATTACTGTAGGCTCGACGTCAAATATTTGATTGAATCGGCTGACAGTTATAATAAAGCCGTCTGCCATCAGCCGCACGTTTTACACCAGTCCGTCACGGTGATGCTTACATGGAAGCGTGAATTGCAGCTCATTACCTTGCAGGACAAATAGATGGTGTCTTGCTTTCTCTTTGCATTTCAGAACATTGGTGATCATAACGTAAGCCTTATAGACGCTGATTTGTGTTATTTTTGGTAGCATCCATGCCTAGAAGGAATGTTACCGTGGGATATTTAACGTAATCGTCGCTATTGTAAAACGAGTATGTGTGCAGATATGTCAACCCTGTATAATTATTGTTGTTATCATCATTATTATTCTTGATATGGTTCCAATTAGCCAACGGTTCCCTTTTCCTGAAGTACCAGGCTACACGGTGCATTGGATGAAAATGTCGGTATTGCCTATACAGACACGGCAGCTTGTCTTCGGCTGGGTCCAGCCTGGCTGGCTTTTTGCTAGGGATCGTGCATAAAGACACCGGCTTCACTCATGTCTTTCAGCGGCACTTGATCACCTTGGGTTATGGCGCAGACAAACAATTATGGGCAAAGCAGCAACGGAGTGGCTGACGAGTCTCCCAACATGCTGGTTTACAGGAAGGTAAGTTGCGGGGCGCCGCCGCCTTAATGATACGGAGATCGGGCGACGCTGGCGAGTCACACGACAGCCTTCTGTGACCTTTTGGGAAGTCTTTATTTCCATAAAATTGAAATGCATTGGCGAGAGATGGGATTGCATTCTTGTATGAGTGTCGCCACTTGCAATGCACTTGTGGTTGTGTTTTTTTGTGAATGCATGAAATAGGGCAATAAGTCAGTAGTTCAGTTTTTTTGTCATTATCTGTCCTTAGGTCAGGTGGCGCACCTTACTGCTGCCTCCTACTCTAAACTTGGGGGAATCATTTTTTGACCATCCAGGAAACCTAATTGCATCCTGTCTGTTTTCCCGATCAACGGGTGTTCCACATTTTCGTTAATTCCCATGAAATGGGTTAATTTTCCATTTGCATTTTTGTAAACTGGGCCATTTCTTTATATTATTGGGACAGGATAATACTGAGTTTGATTTAATCACTTGCTGCTTTTAACGTGCTATTTTATCCTGGTGTTTTAAAGTGGGACTTTTGGTTGTTTTTGGTCTTCACGTGTTCGCCTGTTACTCAGAATAGGACTCCAGAACGTTCTGATCACTTTTTTTTGGTGGGTTGGGGGTGCATGTGCAGTACTCATGAATCCCACCCTCCCCCCCGGTTCTGCTTTGAGTCCAGCCATGTGAGCGTCGCGGCCCAGGTGTGGCCGTCGGACATGCGAATCTCCTTTTAAAATAGTCTTAGTTCTTCGCTACATGTGTTTGGAGGAAAGTTTTATCTCACCTGGGAGCCACACGCTGTAAACTTCGCTCCAAAGTACAGATGTAATGAGATATTGCTCTGCATGGACTGAGAGGAGCACCAGCAGACCAGAATTGTTGCCATTTTGACTCGTGAGGTGCATTACCTGCTCTACGACGCGGTTATTTCCATGAAAATTAGCTATTAGCTAATAAGCTGTTAAATGAGATCATCGGCCCTGCTTGTGAGTCTTCCATAGCAGGGACACTCAACTACCATGCTGTGCATAATAATTGTATCAACCGGATGAGGAATGCTTAAAAAGTTGTTGCGCTTTTCACAAGCAGCCGTTGCAGCGATCGTGCAAAATATCTCCGCAGAGAGAAGGCCAGCAAACTAACTGAATGCAGTGGTGTTACATGAGAGTATGTCATTGATATGTGAAGATGCTATTGGATGATAACGCAAAATACTACTTTTTTAAGACTAGAAAACGTATGGATTGAAGTTTCGAGCTCCTCAGTCTTTCTGATGTTCTTTAATGTCCCTAGATGCCACAGCTTAAAACAGGTAGCTTGCCTCGTGAATTGATAACCTGATATTACATTCCCTCTACAAAATGCTTTGACTCATTGCACATGCTTTATCCAATCTTCTTGTAAAAAGCAAATTAATTTAATAAATTGAATCGCTTGAACCAGGAGAAAATTATGTAATCGATGCCAAATGGAATTGCTGGATTCAGTAAAATCCTTTCCTTTAATTATAAAGGATAAACTGGCTCTATCAAAGCATTTAATGCTGTGGATTTTAAAACATAACATGGAAATAAAATGAGATGGCACACTCCCTTCCGAATCACACGTCATCCACAAAAATCATGCAACACTCATGAGTCATTCGGGTGAATCCAAGGATCTCTGATGACAGGGCTCGCTGTAGAGAGTGGCCGCAGGTTCCCGTCAGCTCCCGCGTCTGCCGTAAGAGCCTCTGTCCCTGTCCTGTCCATTCCCACCGCAGCTGTGCCATGACACCGTCCCGCCATTCTCCCCTGGCATGGATGGCAAATCACCACGCTACCAGGGTGATGTAACAGACTCTCCACTCCCAGGCTGAAAATAATTTCCCGATTAGATTCAGAAACATGCTAATCAGCTGAGACTCGAAGCAAACTATTGTTGTATTAAAAGTGCTTAATGTATGTTCATGGTGCTGTAGAACAAACAAGCATCATTTCAGTACGTGGACGACCAAAGCCATTGTGCAGCATGTCCAAGAAACCAAACTGATGTGCTGAATTTAGTGGCTTGCACATCTCTTCTGACGGTTCTATCGCCACTCTGCCCTGGCACATCTATCGGCCAAGCTTTGGGTAATTATGTTCCGTGTGTCACGTTACATGCGTGTATCATATCTGATGTCTTAATGATGGCACCGGCCGTGCAGATTTGTCACACGGGCAACGTGGTTGGCGAGAATAAACCACGCGTGTAAACAGTCTTTAGCGTAATCTGATACTGAGAAGAGCTGCCGTTTTCACTTTTGGAGAATTCCCAGGTGGTTAAATGTTTTGCATTTTGGTATTTTTTTTTTTTCTTCTTTTTTCTCTTTTTCCAAACCCCTGCATTCGCAGCCTTTTGAATTAAAAGCTTTGCATGTAACCAGACTTGTGCATAATGTGTCAAAGCCTTAAGGAAGACAATAAAAGGGGTAGCTTCATAAATAAAGATGCTGTGTCAAGGGTTCCATTGCATTCTTCATTGGCGGTACAGGTCCATGTTTTGCAGACAGCACAGACACAGAGTAGTGGCCCAGGCTAGAATCTCTGTGTTTACGCAACAGATGCAGTTCCTCCCCAGCTAGAATATGATAGAGAATCAGCTGTATGTTGCTCACCTCTCTGCTCCACCCACTCCCGAGGTCAGAGTAGGGCCTGCAGCCTATCCCAGGAACTATAGGTCTACCTTAGATGGGATGTCAGTGTATATAAGTCATTTATGGAAATCAGGTAATGGATGGGAATGGATAGGAAATGTGTGAATTAATTGGAATACAGTGACATAGTAACAAACGCGCAGATGGCTGTAATCTGTAATCTGTGACAGATGGCGGTCCGTATTCTGTGTGAATGAACGTACTATATTGTATTGTGGGCTACATTAATCTGATGAGTTAGCACTATAACTGGGGAATTATCACACACTGTTTTGCGTCTCTCAGATTTCCAGGTCCTGTAAATATATCCTGTTAGAGCACTGCTGTTGCTGGACAATGCAATTAGTAAAGAGTAAATAATCTGTTGTTTATCCATGGGGGATATTCGAGGGAGTACGGTGTGTTAGGGTGTCTCGGAGTTAAACATTACGTTTTGGCTGCAGAATTCACCTTTGCAGCTATTGACTTATGACAGCTGCCATGTCTCCTGATTTTTACGTGATTTTTTTTGGAGCAGGATTTTGGATGTTGATATAAAAATGCCGAAGGTGCTTCTGACAGTCTTCATCGATGTCTGCTGATGGAGCTCATGACTGAGCTCCCTGTGGATGTGATTGTTGACATGCCTCTTGGACTAAGTAGCTTTGACTGAGGAAACTCGAGTCAAAAGTAGTGAATGAAGTGGTGGGCGGGGCTAACCCTAACAGCCACCCTATAGGGTTAACTAGGGAGTGATTGACAGCACTCTGTAGCCCCTCCCACCCTGTGATTCTTTGCTTTATTTTTTCCTAGGTATTATTCATTGTTGCATCATGGGTTATGATGGGCTGCCATTTCCTCCTGGATGTCCCTGGGCGCCTGAGATAGGCCCTGGGCTCGTCCCAGTACTTCTCTGGCTGTGCCATTCTGGAAAATAGATGATTTGGACAGTTCCGGAGCATAAGGAGTCTAGAAATTGAGAATGTAGCAGAAGGGCCTCTGTCAGTCCTGGAGACAGAATTGTACTGTGTCTTTCATATCTATCAATGATATGCTTGGGAACGGGACAACAAAGCAACTCGTTAGTTAGAAGGACGGTGGGTCAGCGGAGCGGCCCGGCCTGCCACTGAATTGCATGGGTCTCCTAAGGGATGCGGTCCGATCACCAGCCGGTAAGTGATCACCCTCAGGGCAGCGTGTTGCTCGGGTTTGGTTTTGATGTCTTCTCGCATCCTCACCAGAATGCACGCCATCGTGGCTTCAACCGTCTGGCTGGGATGAGGATTCAGAAGCATACAGATGCCTATATAAACCGTGCTTGTAAACACTCCGGCATTCTGCGTGAAATATCGTTGTTGATTTTTGCCTTTTTCTGACTGAACTAATTCGGTCCCGGTGTGGATTCCGTGCTTTCGCCGAGCGCTGATTAGTCATACGTGCGTTTCAGACTGAAATGTGCCAACGGACGCATCTGTACTCCATGTTTAATTTGAAAAAGAGCAGAAGCAGCCTTGTTTTAAGAGGCAAAATATGCGGGAAACACAATAGGATGTTTAAAGGGAGGTGTAGCTGTGAAAAACCCGGACGGATATTGTAGTGTGTAATTACACAGGGTTACCAGGGTCCAGGTTGTTTAAACATTGTCTTTATGTCCACAATTTCATCTAGATATCAGCATCGTTACATTTGTAAATATCAGCAGCGATTCTTGCATTATATAATTCAGCCGTTTGATGATATACTCTCAGAGGATGGTACTCTGTAACAATTACGCTCCTGACCACTTCCCCTTAGTACGGTCAGCAAGAAGCATTAACCTCGTTTCACTGACTGCTGACCAGTATCAGTGCTGGGTGCCCACCACAGTGGAGGTGTGTGTATAGCGTTTGTTCCTGGTCAGCTCTCCTGCTTGGAATTCTGGGTATTTCTGTATGTTTCAATCCCAGTGGTTTGGCCACATGAAAGCGAGACAGGCTTATGATTTTTCAAAGATGAAAAATGCTGCAGATATCAAATTTATCATGTTTACGGGGGTAGCATTCGCAACGGGAGGATTTGATGGCAGACTCATAACCTGCTCCATGGGTCGCTTTTGACTCACGTACCCTTGGCGACCTTTGACCTCGTAGCGTGTTCCTTCTGTCCAGTCCCTGTCACATTCCTTCATTTATTGGACACTTTCTTTCCCTTTTAACCTTCCCTCCATGACATGGCTGGTAATGCCGCGTATGTAGGTCAGATGTTGAATTTTTCATGCGAGCCAAAAGCAGCCTCAGCTCCGGATGGGGCGAAAGCGAGTCGAGGGCAGGGCGGGGCTGGGCGGCAAACGCCCTCAGTCGGGGTGTCCCGTGGCCCC